AAACAAAAAAAAAATAACGAAAACAATTTTAATGATTCTCCTATTGAATTGCACTGTTTACTGATCTTTGTAACAAATCAATAGGTTCAGTAAGGAAATAATTAAATTTACAAAAATCTGATTTCATGTTTGTTTCCTCCTCTAAAACTAATACAGGTAGACCTTGATTTATGACCACAATTGAGCCCAAAATTTTTGTTGCTAACTCAAACATTTGTTAAATTAATTTTGTCCCATTTTAGAACCTTTTGTGCCACAGCTGTTAAGGGAATCACAGTTGTTAAGTTACTAACAGTTGTTAAGTGAATCTAGCTTCCCCATTGACTTTGCTTATCACAAGGTCACAAAAGGTGATCACATGACTCCAGGATACTGCAACTGTCACAAATATGAGTCAGTTGCCAAGTACCTGAATTTTGATTACGTGACTATGGGGGCACTGCAAAAGTTGTAACTGTGAAAAACGGTCATATGTCACTTTTTTCAGTGCTGTTGTAACTTTAAACGGTCACTAAATGAACTATTGTAAGTTGAGCACTACTTACATTTTAAAGCTCTTTCTAGTTTACAATATTGATTCTAATTTTATTTGCTACTAAAGAACTTTTCAATTATTTTTAATTCTTGGTATTGCAAGACTCTATATACGGGATGGCGAATTTAAGGCACGTGTGCCGTAAGTGGCACGCAGAGCCATCTCTCCAGGAACGTGAGCCGTCACCTGTTGCTCTTCTGGGGTTCCAGGATGCCAGCCAGTTGGTCTTCACATGGGCGGAGTAATGGAAACTGGAAGACCAGGTGGCCGGTGTGCATGCGCGTGCCGGAAATCAGGTCATCTTCCCATGCACGCATGTTTCTGGCAGGCATGCGCACGGGCTTCCGTTTTGGCATTAGGTGCCGAAAAGGTGCGCTAACACTGCTCTATATGGTGAACCAGAGAGAAAACCTGTTGTTGCCTTTTTCCCACATAATCTCTTTTCTCTTAAAAGAAAGAACACACTGACAAACCAGCACAAAGGTCCTTCAATAAAAACTCATCTTCCCTCATAGCAGTATATTGTTGGCAATAAAATTTCCAAATTATCTACAGAGTAAGTCTGGTCTTTATCTATGTAAAACTGTTTTGAATAATCTCTTTTCTCCCAAACATCCAGGTTTCTGCAGCCTGACAAAGGATATACCTGAGCCACGCATGGAGGGGAGGGGAAATCCTTTGGCAACAAACTTGCAATCTTCCCTGCCAGCTTCCCCACTGACTTTCTGGGGAAGCCATCAGAGTAGATTACAAATGGCCATCACATGATTAATAGATTTAACAGAGTTGGAAGGCACTTTATAGGTCATCTAGCTCAAGCAGGAGACCCTATACCATTTCTGACAAATGGCAATCCAATCTTTTCTTGAAAGTTTCAAGTGATGCACTTCCCACAACTTCCGAAAGCAAGCTGTTCCATTGGTTGATTGTTCTCACTGTCAGAAAATTCCTCATTTCTAGATTGAATCCAGGGGTGAAATCCTACTGGTTCGGACCAGTTTGGCTGAACCGGTAGCTATTATTGCCATTGGTTCGCCGAACCGATAGCAATCATCTCTGGTGGCCCTGCCCCCGCCTACCCGATCACCCACTCAACAGGCGCACTGGGGCCGCCTTGTCCGCTGCCTCCGTACGCTGCGCTTGGAAGGAGCTGCTGCCGCTGCTCTGGTCACAGCTGCTCTCACCGCCCTCCCTCCCCACCTGGCTTCAGACGTCCGCCTGCCCTCCTGGAGCACCGCCATGTCACCGCCATTCACTTTCTTCCTTCTCCTGCCACGAAACAAAAGCGAATGGCGGCGGTGCTTTAGGAGGGCAGACAGACATATTCATTATAGTTGTCAGCTGCAGACGTCCACCTGCCCTCCCAAAGCACCACCGCAGTGAACAAAACAACCCCATTGCATCGCGCCTCCTCCTGCAGCCAAACATGCCCAGCCGTGCATGCCCTTTCCTCAAATGGGCTGTGCATGGGGCGCTTGGAGAGAGAGAGCGAGAAAGAGAGCTCTCCAACCTGTTTTTGTCTGTGTGTGTGAGGGAGGGAGGGAGGGAGGGAGGGAGCGATCTGAAGCCGAGGCCAGCCCTATTCCATCCCCACCAGTGGCTGGGCAATGCTGCACATGGGACATTGTGCGGCTGAGCAGGGAAGCCGCTGTCACACCATTCCCCCTTGCTTCCCCAGTGAGGAAGCGCATGGCCTCAGCTCTGTGCTCAGGGAAGCGAGGGGGAGTGGCGTCACAGCGGCTTCCTTGCTCAGCCGCACAATGGTGGGGATGGAGCAGGGCTGGCCTCGGCTTAAGATTGCTCCCTCCCTCCCTCACACATACACAAAAACAGAGGTTGGAATGTTCCCTTGCTCACTTGCTCTCCAAACGTCCCATGCACAGCCCATTTGAGGAAAGGGCACGCACGGCTGGGCGCGTTTGGCTGCAGGAGGAGGCCCAGTGGAAGGCAGCTTTTTCTGCAGCATCTCTCTCCCCTCTTTGGATCGCCCTGCAAAGGGGAGGCTCTGCCTCTGCAGAAGCAGGGCAGGCGGTTTGTAAGGAGGATTGGTGGGGGGGATGCGCGGCCCTCCAGAATGGAGAGCGGAGCAAGAGAAGGCTCCGAGGTTCGCTTGGGCAGTCAAGCCAGAGGGAAACTCAAAGCACTGGGGGCTTCAGAAGGGCAGAATGTGCTTCAGAATGTGCAGTTCCTGGCTCTAAGAGTGAGTGACATGAGTGACGTCAGGTTGACCATGCCCGCACGGTTTCATGACCACCAAGCCACGCCCACCAAGCCACACCCACAGAACCGGTAGCAAAAAATTTTAGATTTCACCACTGGTTGAATTTCTCCTTGGTCAGTTTCCATCCATTATTCCTTGTCTGGCCTACAGGTGCTTTGGAAAATAGCTTGACCCCCTCCTCTCTGTGGCAGCCCCTCAAATATTGGAACACTGCTATCATGTCTCCCCTTGTCCTTCTCTTCACTAGACTAGCCATGCCCAGTTCATGTAACTGTTCTTCATGTTTTAGTCTCCAGTCCCCTAATCATCCTGGTTGCTCTCCTCTGCTCTTTTTCTAGAGTCTCAGCATCTTCTTTATAGTGTGGTGACCAAAACTGGATGCAGTACTCTAAGTATGGTCTTATTAGGGCTTTATAGAGTGGTATTAGTACCTCATTTGATCTTGATTGTATTCCCCCGTTAATGCAATTTAGGATTGCATTGGCTTTTTTAGCTGCCACTGCACACTGCTTGCTCATATTTAGCTGATTGTCCACTAAGACCCCAAGATCCCTCTCACAGTCACTGCTATTAAGCCTGGTTTCCCCCAGTTATATGTGTACTTTTGGTTTTTCTTACCGAAGTGTAAGACTTTACTTTTCTCTACATTGAATTTCATTTTGTTAGATAGGGCCCAGTGTTCAAGTCACTCAAGATCCATCTGGATCTTGAGCCTATCTTCTAGGGTGTTAGCTATTCCTGCCAGCTTAGTATCATCTGCAAATTTGGTGAGTTCCCCTTCTATTCCCTCATCTAAGTCATTTATGAAGATATTGAAGAGTACTGGCCTAAGACAACCTTGTGGCACCCCACTTTTTACTTCTCTCCATGTAGACTTAGACCCATTAAGGACTATTCATTGAGTATGGTTTGTCAGCCAGCTGCGAATCCATCTGGTGGTGATACTATCTATCCCACTTTTTTCTAGCTTACAAAGAAGTAGGTTGTACTTTGTCAAATGCCTTGCTGAAGTCTAAGTATATTATGTCCACAGTATTTTGTTGGTCCACTAATTTAGTCACTATGTTGAAGAATGAAATAAGATTGGTTTGGCATGATCTGCTTTTAACAAACCCGTGCTGACTGCTAGTTATTACTTTACACATTTCTAGGTGTTGGCAGATCTGATTTTTTTAATTTAATTATCTTTTCCAGTATCTTCCCGGGTATTGATGTTAAGCTGATTAGTCTGTAGTTTCCTGGGTCTGGTTTTTTTTTTTTTCCTTTTTTGAAGATGGGAACCACATCAGCTCTTTTCCAGTCCTCTGGTAGTTCCCCAGTGTTCCAGGATTTTTGAAAGATGTGGTGCATCTTTTGAAAGATGTGATCATGGCGTGCTTGGTATAAGTTGTTAAGTGCAAACAGATTGCCAAGCTGTCAGGGCTGCCTCTGTTCAATTCCTAGGAAAGAAAAATCCTTGGCTCCATAGATTTAGAGAAAAGTACTTTTACTAGGAACAAACTGAATGCAAACAGTTTCAAGCAAGCTCTGAGGCACAGAGCGGGATCAGCACAGATACAGATACAGTATACAGCCCAGCTTGTAGCTAGGCAACCGGAGGCCACTGCATACCAGAGCAAACTGACATGGCCTTGAGAATAACCACAGTTGCAAAGTTGCAATGTAAACTTCTCCACAGTTCTCTCCCCCAATATTTTTTGGCAGCCAGCATCCAGCTAGCTGACACAAGCACTCAGATCACTATCGTGTGACTGTGGGATGGGCGGCCCATGATATTTTATGATGGCTGGAAATGCTTTGTGGACCATAAAGCACCCTTTCTGAATGTCTTAACTTCAAAATGGCCATTAATCTACCTCACAGTAGCATTAGCTTCCCCCCACTTCCATTTTTGGATAGAAAAATAAATAGGTGAAACAATAGGACATAAAATCATTCTAACTATAGGGTCTCTTTTGCTTCCCCAAAGGAGTGTGCGTGTCTCATTCTTTCCCATTTTATCTGCCATGATTCTAAAGTTCTTCAGATCATCAGGTGTTTTGAAAATGTTTCATATTTGTAAAGCTAAAAAAAACCACCCAAACAAAATGAACCATCATGAATATTAGCAAGATAGCACAAAGTTGATTCGAATGCAAGCCAAAGTTGTGGATTACCAACCTTTTACTGATTGTAGTTTGCCACGTGGTTAGCATCAGATTAAGCCTAGTACAATATATATGGTGGCTCTTAACTTTCAAGTACCTGGTGTAAGGAGACAATTCACCTTGGAAAATATGTCTTTCAGGGAAGCCATGCTTCGACTCCGCTGCCGATTTGCCTGCAAATAGACAAAACTCAAGCTAGTAAAACAAACTCAATGGAGATCTATAAATATTATAGTTAGCATAAGTCAACACAGTTAAATGTTTACAATCTAAATATTACAGTCATCCCAGAACACAGTAAAATTACTGACTATTTTTATAATGCCTAACAGAAATTCTGTAGATATATGAGACATAACAATATTTGATTAAATGAAACAATTAATTGGCCACAAAGAGGAAACTATGCACTACCAGTTTAGCTATCAAAATATACTGAAGTATAAACAATTTCTTAAAAATTATGCAAGAAAGCTATGATCATAATTGGGCATGCAATCCAACAAAGTATTAGTTTTAAAACCTAATATCAAGAGTGGGAGAGGGAGAAGAAAGATTTTAATTTGAATGAGCAGCAGTTAAGTCTGAGCTGAACAAGCTACATTGGTCAAGTTATGGTAGTAAAAGTTTGGTTCTAATTTGTTTCTATAAACTAACATTTAAACTATCCTTCTCCAACTAGCATTCTCCAAATATGTTGAAAAACTCTGAAAATTCCAAGCCAGTCCAAAATTATTGAACTTCATTAAGCTAATTATAACAATGCGGTAAGAAATGTAGGAGGTTTAAATTGAAAGAGGCGTTGGACTTACCGTGAACGCTCTTTCTCCAGGGGATGCGGAGTGGGTCAGAAGTGGGATGATCCAGCTCGTCTGGCCAATCACTGAGTCGGATAAACTTGGCCACGCCTACTCAGGCCTCCCTTCCTTCCAGTTTGTTCGACGAAGGCAGATCTGCAAAACAGTCTCAAGCCTAGAAAATACAAAGGAGAAATCGCAGACGGGAGGGGCTGACCCACTCCGCATCCCCTGGAGAAAGAGCGTTCACGGTAAGTCCAACGCCTCTTCTCCCACTGGGATGCGGAGTGGGTCAGAAGTGGGACATACCCAAGCTTGCTAATTCGTCGGGCGGGAGGTCTGCGAAGGTCGATGTCGAGGTGCCAGGTGAACCTGTTGGAGGACTCTCCGTCCGAAGGCTGCCTCGGCGGAGGCAAAGGTGTCCAAACGGTAATGCTTGATGAATGGAACAGGAGAGGCCCAGGTAGCTGCCCGGCAAATTTCCTCGAGGGAGGCCTGCGTGGCCCAAGCAGCGGTAGTAGCTGCACTCCGTGTGGAGTGAGCTGTAATATGACGTGGAATGGGGACAGATCGTGAGTCATAAGCTTTGGAAATACAAGCTCGGATCCAACGCCCTATGGTGGCAGAAGAAACTTTGGATCCCAAAGATGAAGGTTGAAAGGAAATAAATAGGGCTTCGGAGCGTCTTGAGGGTGCGGTCCGAGAGATATATATTTTTAAAGCCCTGCGAACATCAAGGGTCCGCCATTTGTGTTCTAGTGGGTGAGATGGATTTGGGCAAAAGTTAGGCAGGATCACTTCCTGTTCACGATGGAACCGTGAGTTAATTTTTGGCACGAATGCCGGGTCCAGTCTAAGAATTACCCTATCTGGGTGTATCACACATAAGTCTGGCCTGACTGATAGAGCTGCCAGTTCAGAAATGCGGCGAGCCGAAGTCACGGCCACCAGGAAAGCCACTTTCATGGTTAGAAATCTAAGGGAGGCAGTCCGGAGAGGTTCGAAGGGTGGACCTGTCAAGGCTGACAATACATGTGGCAAGTCCCATGTGGGATATCGGTGTACCACGGGTGGACGCAGATTTCGTACCCCACGTAGGAATCTCCGGATGGAAAGGTGATGAGACAGGGGCACGCCGTCCCTGGGAGACAACACCGTGGCGAGAGCTGCAACATGCCGCTTGAGGGTATTATGCGCTAGACCCTTGCTGTAGCCATCATGGAGGAACTCCAACACCTGCGGAACAGAAGCTGACAACGGGTTAATTTCGCGCGCAGAGCACCACGAAATAAATACCTTCCACGTGATGTTGTAGAGTCTGATGGTGGACTCCTTCTTGTCAGCCTGCATCACCCGGATGACATCTTCTGAGTACCTCGCTTCCCTCAAGAGCAGCCCTTCAAACGCCAAGCGGTTAGGTTGAGCCACTGGGGCTCTGGGTGTAGGATTGTCCCTTGACTGAGGGACACCTTCTCCGGAGGAAGCCGCCAAGGGTCCGTCGTTGAGAGGGCTACGAGGTCGGAGAACCATGGCCTTCTTGGCCAATAGGGAGCGATGAAGATCACATCCGCTCTCTCGGCCACAATTCTGCGAAGGACCCGCGCGATCAATGGGATCGGCGGGAACGCATAGAGTAGCTCCTGAGGCCAGGGGCAACGGAGAGCGTTTGTGTCCTCTGCCCCCCGCGATGGGTAGCGCGTGAAGAATCGGCGTAGCTGTGCGTTCTCTGGGGATGCAAGGAGGTCTACCTGTGGCTGGCTGAACCGGAGACAGATGTCCCAAAACAGAGCGGGGCTGAGGCGCCATTCTGATGCGTCTATCGTGGTGCGGCTGAGATAGTCCGCCTGAAGGTTGTCCTTCCCCGCGATGTGATCCGCCTTGAGGGATTGAAGGTGGGATTCCGCCCACCTCCCGAGAAGAAGAGCCTCCTGCATCAAGGTCTTGGACCTTGTCTCCCCTTGGCGGTTGACATGTGCCTTTGCTGACACATTGTCTGTAAGCACTAGTAAGTGTTGTCCCTGCACCGTCTGATGAAAGGCCAGAAGAGCTAAGCGGATGGCCCTGAGTTCCAGAAGATTGATACTTGACCTTGCTTCTGTCGGGGACCATCGCCCCTGAGCGACCTGGGAACCCAGGTGCGCGCCCCAGCCCGTCAGACTGGCGTCTGTAGTCATAATCAGTGGATGTGTGTCCAAGAAGACGCATCCGTTGTCCAGAGCCGGGGATAGCCACCAGTGCAAAGACCGGTGTACTGACAGGGGGACCCTGATCTTGGATTTGGAGGCTGCTGTCCTTGCCCGCTGATAGGGGAGTAGCAGCCATTGAAGGCTGCGGGCATGAAGCCGAGCCCAGGGAACTATGTCTGTGCATGAGGCTAGTTTCCCCAGGAGACGGGACAATTCTAGCTTGGGAGCTGTCGGATCTTGTAACAGATGCCGAATCAGAGATCTGAGGCTGTCTTTCCTCTCCTGGGAGAGGAACACCTGTCCCACCTGCGTGTCTATGACTGCGCCTAGATGATTTATGCGCTGTTGAGGGACCAACTGACTCTTGGGCTCGTTGACTAGAAACCCATGATTCTGTAATATTTGCAATGTGAGAAATACATTGGTTCTGGCTCTGTCGTAGGACGAGGCTTGTATTAAAATATCGTCCAGATAAGCCTGAATTCGAATTGGTACGGACCGCAGGTGAGCTATCAAGGCTGCCAGAATCTTGGTGAAACTGCGCGGGGCCGATGCCAGGCCAAATGGAAGGGCCCGGTATTGTAGGTGACGCCCCGCGTAGCTGAACCTGAGGTACCGCCGGTGAGCTGGCTCTATAGGTATATGAAGGTACGCCTCGGAGAGATCGATTGAGGCTAGGAAGTCTCCGGGTCTTATTCCCTCCAGGATAGATTTGAGCGTACTCATCCTGAACTTGCGGTACACTAAATGGGTGTTCAGGGATTTTAAATTTAGGATCGCTCTCCATCCCCCCGAGCGCTTCGGAACCACGAAAAGAATCGAGTAAAATCCCTGCCTCCATTGCTCCCGAGGGACGTCCTCCACAGCATTGATCTCCAGAAGATGCTGAATGGCGATCTCCATCAAATTTCGCTTGCTGAGGGAGCTGGAGACAGGGCAAGGCACGAAGCGGCTCGGAGGGCGGGAGAGGAACTCCAATGGGAGGCCGAATTCGATGATATGAAGAACCCATTGGTCTGTCGTACTGCGAGCCCATTCGGGGAGAAACAGGCTCAACCTCCCCCCCAATGGGAGCTATCAAGCGAGAGTCACTTTTGGCGGCGGAACTGACGTCCGCCAGTTCCACGAAAGGGCCGTTTCTGAGGGGCGAAGGGTTTGGATTTATCCCTGTAGGAACCTCTATCTTGGGGACGAAAGGAACCCTGTGAGTAAGGTCTCTGACTGGGGCCCTCCTGGAAAAAATTACGGGCCGGGGGCCTGCGATAGTAGGGGGTAGCCCTGCGATCAGCTCGTCTAGTAATGGAAGGAAGGACCTTCCTTTTATCCCTGTCCTCCACTAATAATGGTTCAAGGGAAGCACCAAATAATTTAGGCCCAGAGTATGGTGTAGAAGCTAGACACCATTTGGCCTTGAGGTCAGCTTGCCAAGGCTTAAGCCACAAAAGGTGACGGGAAGTGACTGAAGAAGCCATAGCCCGCGAGGCAAATTTGGCAGCATTTAACGTGGCATCCGAGGTGAATTGAGTGGCAGCTATTATCTTATTTAGGTCCTGATGGACTCTGGCCTCCTGGGCTGGTAAGCGGGACTGAAGCTGCTGGAGCCATAATAGAGATGACCGTGAAAAGAATGAGGCCGCAGTAGCGGCCTGAATTGCCCAAGCTGAGGCCTAGTGAGCCTTCTTGAAAGAAGAATCAAACTTACGGTCTTCCGGCTTAAGTCCCTCAGAAGTGTCCCCTGAGATGAAAGGAGACGAAGATGAAAGCGCTGCCACAGGGCCATCGACTTCGGGAACCTGCAAAAGACTAGTCAGGACAGGATCCATGTTGTAATTTCTACGATCGTAGCCACTAGGAGTAGGAAAAGAAGTTGGATTAGTCCATTGTTTACGAACCACATCAGTGAAAAGTTTTGGCGCTGGGACAAACAGTTGCTCAGTTACTGGTTCAGAAAATATGCCTTGACTGGAGGAAGCGGCAGAAGTTGATGGGACAGAATCAGTGTCAACTAGGCCCGAGGTGACTTTGGCCTTGTGAAGCAGTGATTTAAAAAGTCCCTGGGGAAAAAGGCCGGTAAAGGCTGGCACATCAGGAGCAGTGGATTCGTCATCCGATAAATCCACTTCCCTTTGAGGTTCATCCTCTAGTTCTATATCAGCACTGCCTCTAGATCTAACAGGGGAGTGATCAGGG